TATCCTGTGCCCATTTTTCTATTGGATTATTTACCTTTATCTTGTTGTGGTGCTCAAGTATTTCATAAATTCTGGATATAAGTCCCTTATCTGATATGCTATTACCAAATACTTTTTCCCAGTTGGTGGCTTCCCTTTTCACCCTGTTGGAGAAGTTTTTGGATGTGTGAATTATGTTTTAAAATATTCTGTTGAGATGCATTACAGCCTCAGGACAGAGACCTGAAGGTATGATGGGAAACCCACTAGCCTCTCTGTAGGAAAAGGACCTGGCAATCTGTTTCAGTAAAAACTGCAAGCTAGGAAGTCCTATGAGTAATTTTTACTCTGTCCTATAGTATCGCTATGAGTCATAATCAATTCAATGGCACACAATGATAATTTCATACTTAAAGGAGGTACTATGTTCTTTGATATTCCTAGTGCATAGTATATTCAATACTTTTCATCAACACCACAATTCAAAGACATCTGTGCAAATAAGGTGCATAAAACCTTTGCAGAGGAATTAGTTGACTATTGTGCAAAATAGATATCTATGGCCTATGAAGGAGATTGGTCAATTTTGCTATCCGGCTAGACTTACAGGACTAGTCAATCTCATATGTGATGAATAGGACCTCACTATCAACAAATCAAATGTAGAATGAGTGAAGTTCATCCTTTGGGTCGAGGGCTGCACTATGAACAGTGAGTGTAAGGAGACCAGCATTTCTGAGATGGCTTTGGTGGACTTTCTGGCTCACAGAGAAAGGCGACTAACTGCAGCCTGCTCTCAGACCCACAGAAAGAAAGATCTAAGTGCCTTAAGGCAGGAGACTATCAGAACAAAGCACCTTCAGACATTGATTGCTGAACCAGAAAGTATTAACATTTGCCCAAACAGACTGAAGGCAAAGGCTAGGCCTGAGAAGCTGCCTGTGGCAGACACTGGAGTGGGGACTGGCCTGCGGAGATAGCCACTAAGCAAGGTCTGCCTGTGAGTACTCCAAAAAAATTGCTAAGAGCGCTCTTGGTTGGAAGATGTCCTGATTGGTATCCTGACTCCAGAATTGTTCCTGTTACTTCCAAATTAATCCTGATCCCAAATGGTAGGCTGTTACTCTCTTAATCAAGCCCATTATCATGAATATTGTCTTTGACTTCTGTGGAACCATTGGAACAAATTATTGAACACAGTAGAGAAATAGAAAGTGCAGTGGGAGGGACCCTGTGATATTAGAATTGATAAAGGTGGCAGAGTAAAGATATGTCTAATCTTCACCTCATTTAAATTGGCTTAGTGTTGATTGTGATTCTCCTTCACCCTTACAAAGTAAAAGGACTTCTAACATTACCTTAAATTGATGAGTGAATGTCTATCTCATATTAGTAGCTGTTAAGACAATATGAATAACTTTCATCCATTTTTCCATCTTTCCACTCAAGAGAATAAACAAGTTCATATTGGAGAGAGTGAAACTAGGATACTACTTTGAGGCAAGGATTCTGAAGCTTCATCTGACATACTTTAGGTATGTTGCAAGGAGGGGACAGTCCTTGGAGAGGGACATTATACTCGGAAAAGTGGAGAGACAGTACAAGAGAGGAAGGCCCTCAATGAGATGGATTGACTCAGTGACTGGAGTAATGGGAGTAGATAGTGTGGAGGGACTGTGCAAGAGAGGAAGACCCTCAATGAGATTGATTCAGTGACTGGAGTAATAGGAGGGTAGGTGTGTCAGAGGCAATGAGGTTGGCTCAGGATAGAGCTGAGTTCAGAGCTGTTGTACAAAGGGTCGCTATGAGTCACAAGTGACTCGACGGTACATAACAAGAACAACATAGGAGGTCAACAATCAAAAGACGTGTTGCACTGGGAAAGTCAGTTGTCATGGACCTCTCCAAAGTGCTAAAAATTGACAATATTAAAGACTAAGATGCACCTGATTCAAGTCAGGGTCTTTTCTATTACTTCCTATGCATCTCAAAGATAGATGCATAGGAAGAAAAGTACTGAATACTCCATCGACTGCTAAAAGAACAAACAAGCCTGTTCTGAAGGAAGTGCAACTAAGGTGCTCCATAGAAGCAATTATGGTGAAGGTCAAGGATTTATTGTTCCAAATGACTTTCCTAGCCATTGACTTTGACTCTATCACGTGACTTTGGAAGCAAGAGTGGCATCCACTTCCTAAACAATATGCCTCCAGAAACTCTATGAACTTTGATAAATATTGGTAGTTATAGAAAGACTTCAGGCCTTTTGTTCATAGGGTTGCTATGAGTCGTTCTCAACTTGAAGGCAATCAACAACAATATCAGATGACTGGGTGGGAACATGCAAACAGGGCATGTTAGTCTAGCTACAAGAGTTTTGGCTAGTCCTGCCATTCCACTAGGTTTAAACCTAGCAATTTCAGGGTTAGAAATGAGGAATCTTAACACCAGCAAGGAAGAGGAAACAGCATATCCTTTGGAACCAGAGAGTCCTGCATCAGCCAGACAGGAGGTCTACATAAGAGCAACAGCAACCTCAGCAGAGAAGCAGAGACTAACATGAGACAGAGCTGAGTAGAGGTTGCTGTCCTACAGAGCCTGAGCCAGAGACTTCCACTCAAGCTTGCTGGAGGACTAACTAGCAGGTGAAAGGAACTGTGTAACACTGACCTAAGTCATAAAGCCAAAGGTCAACGGGCCTGTGACCAGGCTTCAGAAACTTGACTGAGAGATTGTATCCTGCTTCTAATCAGAATTACAGCCTGTGAACTTCCCTAAATAAACTCCATTACTTTAAGTTTGGTTCTGTAAAATCTGTGCAGTCATTGCAATGGATTTTGGACCCAGTAGAACAGTAAGATTGGTGTTGCAATTAGTAGAAGTAAGTGCAGATGTGTAGGAGATCATGTCTGACCATATAGGAATTAGTTTTGTACTATGGATGTTGTAGATGGATACAGTTCCCTTTTATGGGGTTAGTAGAAGTCAGACCCTACATGCTGCCTATACTCTTTTTACACTTGGTCTCACATGCTTTAGACATGTTGTCAGGAGAGGTCAGTCCTTGAAATAGGACATCATGATTAGAAAGGTAGAGAGATCAGAGAAAAAAAAGATCAAACTCCAACTAGATGGATTGAAACAGTAACCATAACAATAGGCTTGAGCATATCAGCAAGAATGGCACAGACTAGGACAAGGTTCACATCTGATGTCCATAGTATGATCATGAGTTGTAAATTACCTGATAGCCCCTAACAACAACAACAACAACAACAACAACATAGGAGCTCTTTTTTTTTTTTTGTCAATATGTTCACATTTTATTAACTACAGTATATACCCCAGAGCTGCCTCATTCCCTTCCCTCCCCCACCTCCTTCCCACCCCGAGGTCAGGCCTTGCCAGGAGCCCCTGCCTTTGCTGCCTGGGCCCTCTGGAACTCCTGCTGCAGTTGAGCAAGTATCTCCCTCTGCCGCTCTGACTGCCGCTCTAGGTCCTGTAGCTGGGATTCGTATCGCTTAATTTCAGCTGTAATATAGTCCAGCCTCTTCCCCACTGTGGCTCGAGCCTCTCCCAGCTCCTGTTTGACCAGCACAGGACCCAAAAGTTTAAAGACCACGTTGGACCCATCCAAAAGGGCCAGTTCCTCCTTTACGATGTTATTTTCTGTCAGTTGTGCCTCAAGCTTCTGTCGCCCTGACATGGACTTACTTAAATCCTTTTGCAGCTGTTGATACTTTTCCACTTCCCCTTGTAGTTTTTTCTGGATCAGCTCAGCCATGGTGGGGACGAAAATCTGCGAGGAGCGGGAGTCGATGTGAAACTCTGGAAGGTCCCGAGTTTCCCTGTGGGTCCGGCCGGCGAGCACAGCACTCTTGCGAGGCTGCCGCTCAGGGCACCGCAGCCTGGCTCGGCCCGGGGTAAGGGTTCTATCCCAGTCCTCCAAAGGAAGGGCAAAACGAGAAGCCAGAGCCCCTCAACCCCATAGGAGCTCTTGTGGCCTAGTGAGTAAGTTACGCTGCCAAACAAAAGCATGGTTCAATCCACCAGCTCCTCCCCAGGAGAAAGGTGGGAAATCTATCCCCATGTGATTTATTGTGTCTGATAACCCATTGGAAGGTCAGCTATGACTCATTTCTGATTCAACAGCACATAGCAACATTTTCCAAGCACTATGGAACAGGACCAGGAGGCAGTCGGCAGAACATAGCAAGGAAACACTGAATGGTTCAAAATCGGGAAGGGTGTATGACAGAGATGTGTCCTATCTCCATACCTTTTCAATCTGTATGCAGAACAGATCATTTGGGAGGCTTGTCTCTATTAGGAGGAGTGTGGCATTAGGATTGAAGGAAGACTCATCAACAACCTACATTATAGATGACACAGCCCTGCTTGCTGAAACTGAGAAGGACCTGAAGCGCTTGCTTCAGAAGGTCAAGGATTGCAGCCTTCAATATGGATTGAAGCTCAACATCAAGAAAAGATTCTTACCACTAGGCTGATTGGCAGTATTATGATAGACGGTGAAGAGACTGAGATTGTTAGCAGCTTTAGTTTGCTTGACTCTACAATCAACACTCTTGGTACCAACATCCAGGAAATCAAGAGACGAATTGCATTGGGAAAGTCTGCTCTCAGGGACATCTCCAGAGTACTGAAAAGCAACTATGTCAGTTTGGAGACTAAGGTGCACCTGATCCAGGCCATAGTCTCTGCAGTTACTTGTTATGCATCAGAAGCTGGACAATGACGAGGGATGACAGAAGGAGAATTGATGCCTTTGAGCTGTGGTGCAAGAGAAGAGTATTGAATATACCATGGTCTGCCAGAAGAACAAACCCGTTCAAACTGGAGAGGGTGAAATCAGGCTGCTCCTTAGAGGCAAGGATTCTGAGGCTTTGTCTGACATACTTTGGACGTGTTACAAGGAGGGACTAGTCTTTGGAGAGGGACATCATGCTTTGGAGGGTGGAGGGACAGCTCAATAAAGTAAGACCCTTGATGAGATGGATTGACTCAGTAACTAGGGTAATGGAGGTAGGTATCTCAGAGACAATAAAGTTGCAGATGAATTGACGGTACATAAGAACAACAACAATCCGAAATTCTAGGGATGAGATATTAACCAAAAACAGCTCTCTTGAAATTATTTTCTACTCCCCAAACAATCTTTCTTTTATAAACTAGATTGTTGGAAGTTGGAGGAGACCAAGGTGTGGCAGATCCAGGCCATGGTCTTCTCAATTGTTTACTGTGTATCTGTGAGCTGGACAATTGTGTGTTGGAGAAGAGTACTGAACATACCATGGACTGCTGAGAGAACAAACAGGTCTGTCCTGGAGAAGGTGAAACTGGTTTGTTCCTTGGAGGCAAGGAATTTGAAACTCCATCTCACATACTTTGAGCATGTTGCCAGGAGGAACAAGTCCTTGGAGAAGGACATCACACTTAGAAAGGTAGAGGGTCAGCAGACCCTGGAGGAAGACCCTGGGAGAGAAGGATTGACATAGAGACTGTGGCAATCGGGGCAGTTGTGTCAGAGATGGAGACGGCTCAAGAAAGAGCAGGGTTCAGAGCTATTGTTCATGGGGTCCTTATGAGTCATAGTTGACATGATGGCACACAAAAACAAAGGGAGACAGAAGCAACCAATAGGATGGCTATTCTAGTATGACTCTCAGGCACACTTCTCACTAAAAATCAATGAATTGGTACTAGTTTCAAGAGTGATGTGAATTTGATGGTGGGAGTTAGCAAGAGTTGAGCTTAGGTCCCTAGAACTAGATTAACAAACTCACCTTTGAATGTGCAAAGATTCTGGGCCCCTGCACACCCATGTTTACTGCAGCTTTGTTCGCAATAGCAAAGACCTGGAAACAACCCAAGTACCCATCAACAAATGAATGAATAGAGAAGCTGTGGTATATTCACACAATGGAATATTATACAGCATTGAAAAACAAGGAACTCATGAAATATTATGCAAATTGGATGATCCTGGAGGACATTATACTGAGTGAAATATCTCAGTTACAAAAGGACAAATATTGCATAGGGCCACTGTTGCAAAATGGGACTGACATCGGGGTTGAGGGAAGACCAAGAAGGGGAGGAATGATGTATATTATATTGAAACAGATGAGGGAGAGAACTGTTTAAAAGGAACATATGAATGGGTATTCTTGTCATTACAGGAGTCCTGAGTGAAGGCTGCATAGTGGACTGGATTTGGGGGGAGGGATTGCATAACAATGAAAGAGTTTTTATTTTACTTTTCAAAGAGAAGAGTGAATGGGGGAGAAGGTGTGGGCAGGGAGAAAAGTGCAGCAATGAATGAATGGAAACCCTAAATCTTTGTAAACGTTCATTAAAATTAGTTAAAAAAGAAAAGAGTCTGAGCCCAACTAGGTAGTGTTTACATGCAGCTATAGGGAGAGGGTTGTCTGCTAGCTAAAAATAATCAACCAATGTGAGGGGTCACACATGCTCTTCGTGTCCCACAAGGATTCTGGGTGATCTGAGAAGATATGTAGCTGGTGGTGCCCAGGCTCAGATTGCTTCCTTTTCCACTAAGTCTGTAGCCTCATATGACCATAGAGAGGTATAGCAGCAGTGAGGCAGGGTTTCTTTCCTGGAGCACAATCCATGATGCATCTAGCTCGTTCTGGCCAAAACCTTGTGAAGGCATCTGCCTATGAATTGCACATGCTGTGTGATGCTCATGGTGCTTGAAGGAATCCTTTGCTTAATGGCAATGGCTCCAAGGCTGAGACTAATTGAATCAACACATAATGAGAGAGGCATTCCAGTTTAATTATGGACTCCTCTTCACCTCTGAAGCGGCATGGATAACACCCAGAATATAAAGGAGCAAAAAGATAAAAGTCACCTAAATGGATCTAACATTACCAGAGGTAGAGAGAGGGGTACAGAAAACAAAATAGCTACTCTTTGGACATATAGCTCCTGATAATGATTCAATTGTGTCTTCTCAAAATACGTGTCACCTTGGCTAGGACATGACTCTCAGTATTATATAATTATGCTTCATTTTGTGACCTGGTGTAATTATCCTGTGTGTTGTAAATCCTTACCTCTATGATGTTAATGACAATTTCCAATTTCTCTAGATTCATACCTTGTACATTCCACACTCTAATTATTGAATAGATGTCTGCAGCTGTTTGCATGCTTTGAGCCATGACACATCAGCAAATGAAGATCTTTTGTTGGCTGAAAGCTTTACTCCATCCACGTCATTGTTGTTATTGTTGTTGTTGATTGCTTTCAAGTTGAGCATGACTCATAGTGACCCTATGAACAAAAGGCCTGAAACCCCTATACAACTATCGACATTTATCAGAGGTCATAGAGTTTCCGGAGGCATGTTGTATAGAAAGTGGATGCCACTCCTTTCTCCAGTTGAGTAGGCTCTATTTTGAGAAGACAGCTCTTCTTCACATGTGTTTTGAGTGTCTTCCTACCTCGGCTGGGGAGTTCATTTTCAGAACAAGATAATGATGTGTAGTTTAAAATCAGGAAAGATGCTCATCAGAGTTGCATCCTTTCTTCATACTTACTCAGTTTGCATGCTGAGCAAAGAATTAAAGAACCTGAACTATATAAAGAAGAACACAGCATGAGGATCAGAGGAAGAGTCTTTGGCAATCTGAAATACGCAGACGACACAACTTTGCTGAAAATGAAAAGAAAAAAAAAAGCCCAAAACACAAACCCACCTTGAATTACTCCTTGATGAAACTCAAAGATGAAAGGCTTCAGTTTGATTATACCTCAATATAAGGGAGGTGGGGAGGGGAAATCCTCATAACTGGATCAATAAGCAACAAAATTGTCAAGGACTTCATTTTGCTTGCATCCACAAGCAATGTTCATGGAAGCACAGTCAAGAAATTAAACAACATATTACATTGGGCAAACCCATAGGATTAGGTTGTATAGTGAATGACACTCTTTTGAGGTATAAAAGATATTAAAAAATTAAGTAGAGATTGGAGAAACATAAGTATCACCAAGAAAGACGTGCCAAGAGTGGAGGACAACCTTTGGTCCCATCTCCCTGTACTGGGAAACTCTTAGAACGAAGAGACATGCAGAAAGAAAGCCTTCCCCTACAAACAGCAGCCTTAGTTTGGACTTGTAACGCCCTAAACTGTGAGAGAAGAAATTTCTGTATGTTAAAGCCATTTGTGTTATTTCTGTTATGGCAGCACTAGATAACTAAGACAGTCCAAAAAGAAATAAAATCAATATAGATGTCTACATATATATCCCCATTGAGTTTTCCTAATGTTAAGAACAAGTAACTCCTAAAATAATTTGTAGTAGACATTTGTCATTTTTTTGACTGCCTACAACCTGATATTCTTTTTCTGTGTTTGGAAAATTTCCCACCTGAGTTTTTTTATTATTATTTTTTAAATGTTATTATTTTTTGTATGTGCACCATCAAATCAGATCTGATTGGTACAGGAGGAGATTGCCCCTCCTTCTCCAGCAGAGCTTCTGGTGGATTCGAACCACGCACCTCTGTGATTGCAGTGCAGCTTCTTGCCACTAGGCCACCAAAGCTCCCTCACCTTAGTTTTTAAGAAGGCAGATCCATTGTTTTATACTGGTTATCCAAAAAAGCAAGAACTATGCATGTTTATGTTGTTGTTACATGACATTAAATCAGAAAAGAGAGAGAGAGAGATGTGGGCCATAGAATCAAAACCAACCCATAGCTAACCCTCCAGCAGGTGTTCAGAGGCAGTTAATATCCATAGAGCAGCTGGTGGCCCCAAATAGCATGCTTTCAGAAT